GGAGATCCAGCAGCGTTTGACGATCATAAACAATTAGTGTGGTTCCATCCCGGAAGCATACAAAAAATAGAATAGCTAACAACAGAAAAAGCTCGGGGGAGCGAAGACGGCTTGCCGTACACACTGGCGCCATCTTGGTTCCCAGTCAGATCTTGAAATGATAAGAGATAAGGTAAATTCTCTCTGATAAACAGACTTCACTTCATGCCTGTCACTGTGTGTGTGAAGGGCAGAATGGGGTGGATGTACAGTAGGCTAAACAGATTGTCTCCATCAGATTTCAGGTACAGCATCAGAGATCTCTGTACAGAAGAGCACAGTCATAGGAACGGCAATAGAAGATATTGCAGAGAACCCTCAACCTCATCAGAAAGAAGACTATATGATGATTTTAAAGACCTGATTACTGCTGCTGCTCTCATCAGAGATTAGAAAATACCAAAAATATTAATAAACGTTAAAAAAATCAACAGGCATCTAACATGAGAACTGACTTGTGTGAGTGTGTCTGCAGACAAACTGTATCCAGCTTTAACACCAGCACTTCCTCATTTCTATTTTCCTTAAAAGAAGAGCCCTCTAGTGTAGAATCATTGTACTGCATGAGCCAGTTCACATAATACAGAACCATTGAATGAATTACTTCATATTTATCATCACAATTATGGGCTTTATTGTTTTAGTTTATCACAGTATCCCAGTTAAACGTGTGATACGACCACATTTTGTTATATTGTCATTAAAAACCTGTTAGTGCTCACAGTGAGAGGAGAGAGACATGAAGCTGTCAGGGATTAGTTTGAGGTTTAAAAAAAACAAAACTTAATATATGTTAAACTTGCCGACATGATGACTTTAAAGCTTTAACTTCTCAGTTAAACAGTCCTAATGTTTTACATTCAAAGCTGCAAATCACACAGAAAGTAACTCAACCCAAAGCATGTCATTTATTTTACACAACACTGACACCACATACAAACACTGGCAGACAGCTGTGGTGTCTCTGTTATGATACTGAAATTATTTTAGACACAAAACATTTACAGGAAAAGGTCCCTTTAAATAAACATGAAGCTATTTAGTGATGATCATCCTGCTCTGCTCACTGAGCTGAGATCATTTCATGCATGAGATCAGGGTTAATCTGAGGAGATGAGACAGTTGATGCATTTATTTTGAACTTCTTCAAACATTTGGTTCATTAAAATAATGTAAATAACGGTAAATGGACTGATTTTTTATAGCCCTTTTCTACTCACCCTGAGTACTCAAAGCGCTGTATACAACATTCCTCATTCTCCCCTACTCATACAAGCACTTCTAAACTCAAGTGCAAACTAATAAACATTCACACACATTCACACTCCGATGACTGGGGAAGCCAAGGATCGAACCCAGCCCATCGTTCCTTCAGTGGGCTGGTTTCAGTCATTATGCAAATGTACTGTTTATAAGATTTGGGGAAACCTGCAGTCAGCTGAGACTGAAGAAGTCACCTGGATGAGTGACGAAACGTTTCTCACACAAAACGTTACGTCCAGATGAACAGAATAAACTTTTGGAGATACCTAACCATGTAGAAATGTTGCCCAATCAGAAGTCTAGAAGCCTGGGTGGGAAAGAGTAAACTAAGATGGCTCATAGAAGTAGAACTGAGTCCTATGTGTGGAGGGACAGTAACTGTGTGTGTATATGTAAGTATTTAAACACTGCAGAGAGTACAATTAACAGTAGCAGTATTTTTTCTAAGTCCGCCATTGTAGAAATTCATTTCACCAAAACAATAACGTGGCGCACAGTGTGATGTCAAAAAAGGCGCACACCTTTGACGCTGCATTTTCTCTGTTTTCCTCGTCCACACGTAAATGCAAAAACGGAGTTTTTAAAAATCTCTGTTTTACGTGTGGACGAACGGTGCAAACGCATAGAGAAATCTGCGTTTTCAAAAATACCCGTGTATGTGTGGACGTAGCCTTAGAAACTCTAGGATCTGTTCTGGTTTTCATAAACTGTTCCAAATCTGAGGCCTTTAAATGAAAATGAGGATTGACCAAGGAATGTTTTGTATTTTGCTAGTTTGCAGTCTTCATGAGCTGCTCCTCTTGTTAAACTCTGCTGCTGCTGACTTTTGAAATCATTCTCCTCCAAGCATTCTCATGTCACACCTCTGATCTCACTGCACTGGCTCTATATTACATTTAGGCTTTGTATGGTAAAGCATCTGTGTCAATAGACTTTGCAGCCATATGTCACCAGTAGGACTCTCAGGTCATCTGATCAGGGTTTATTGTCCATTCCTACAAACTAAAGGTGACAGACCCTTTACAGATGTGGCCCCCTCTCTTTGGAATTCACTGTCCCATCAGCCTAAGACCTGTGAGTTGAGTGGATTCACTCAAAAAGCACCTAAAGACTCATGGTTTTAAAGTGGCATTTGGGTAGTTTTTATTTTGTTCTGTTTATTTCTGTTGTGGTCCTTTTTGCAGGCCAAATCAGTCAATGTGAGTGTGTAGTGTGTTTGTTGCAGATGCAGAGTATTGTGGGGGTCTGCTAATCCTGGAAGACGTTCCACACCTGCACACTGTTGAGCTGATTAGGGTCCAACTGTAAGAGGCTGGTGTTTCCATTTATTCAACACCAGATTTTATTCTGCATGTGCTAAACAAGCTTGGCTCCTGCGATGCTGATGTGTATGCTGTCGTTTCTGCTTTACTCACATTTGGCTTCTTTGCTCTTGCACCTCAGAAAACCAACTTATTTGGGAGTCTAGGTCACTTTCTTTCCAAGCTCCTTAAATAAATGTGTACTTCCTATTTGGTTGTGATTCTTTGTGTGTGGTCTGAACCTGCATTTTACATCTTGCTACTATATGCTGGATAGTCTCTGGGGCACCTTTGCACAGTTTAAAGAGCATATGTTCTTGTGCCGCCAGTTCAGAGCCTCTCTGCTGTCCTTTAAGCTGGCCTTTTCTAGCCACTGGTGGGATTTCTTGATGTGAACCACTTCCTTTATCTATCCATACATCTCATGCAGGGGCTTGGTCATCTATGACTGTTTGTCATCACTATCTGTCTTCAGCTGCCTGAGGCATTCTTTTAGCAGCTTATCTAAGAGGCCGTCTTCCTGAAGTATTCATGGACGCCTCTCAATATAGCCGATATTTACAAAACTAAAAATGGTTGGCATAGTAATGTCCTACAATTCTCAAATTAATTTGTGGGACACAACAGATTTAGAAAAGAACATTTTAAACATTTAAAAGTTAGAGAAAACCAACATAAAAACTTAGAGAGAAGTTAGAGAGATCATCTTGAATGACTGTTTATATTAACCTGCATTCTGCTGTGGTGAGCAGAGATGTTTTCATATATGGGATCTGGGTTCATCTGAAGAGAGAAGGCAAATAATATAAGCACTGGGTTATTTAAAATGATAGAATAGACGGTGCTTTACAACAATGTTTTGTTAGTGTACGTTAAGTGGGAGTGCAGGGTTGACATAAACTATTGAGATAAGAGATCATCATAATTCTCAGCCACATGAGTTGCAAGCAAAGAGTCATTGTGTTGTGCATGAAAGGTTTCCTCTATCAGTCTTTGTGGCAGGAGCAATGTGACAGGTAGATGGAGCATGAAGATTCACACTTTAAATCTCAATTCTGTTCTGTCATTCTCCCTTGCAGACTCTCTTTCATGCAACCATCTTCTTCTTCATCTCCACCTCATCCAAGTCACCTCGAGTTCCATCTAAGCTTCATCTTCATCATCACAAGCATCTAGACTCTGGGTCCTATCTTAAATCCTGTCACCACTGGCTTTTTGTTCTACTGTGATGGGTCATTGGAGACTAATCGCAGAATAGCTTAATTAATTTTCAATAAATTATCTTTAATTCTTCCAAATGATCGCTCGGGATGAATTTGTGGAGTCTGCTATATCTGCAAGACTGAGCTGAATTCTGCTTTGGTGGCAGTTTTCTCATTTGCAGCTTCATTAAAACAGTAAAACTCTCATTACTCTGTTAGATTATTGATTGTTAATGTGGAATTACACTTGTTAGTTTTAAATGTGCATCTTGGTTTATTACCACCAAATTCTTCAAAAGAACATTTCATTACCAAACAGGATGATCATAGTTTTTTTTTACTTTAATGAAGTTTAAAACTCTTACCACAACAAAAGAATTGAAAATATACTTTACTAACAGTGCATCTCCTATTAGCAACTTATACAGTAATAGCACTGAAGTCGTTGCTTATGAGACAACTATTAGGATAATAAGCATACAATGAAAAGCATTTTCAACAACAAATATTCAATATGGCTTAAAATCACATAATTAAGTTAGTGACAGATATATTTATTGTGGGGTTTTTGTATGTTGTTAAAAAAGGACACAGAAGGTGTGTCCTGCGGTAGAAAAAGAAATTAGGAAATTAAACTCAGACTTCAGAGGAAGGATCAAATTTGTGTACTTGGTGGATTCACACTTATCAAGATCCTTTAAGTGTTTTTGTAGTTACTTTTATCTCTCTTCTGGCAGTGAGTATAATAAATGTACTTCTACTCTCCTAATAAATGTAGACCAGAGAAATAGCACGATGCACACATCATTCACAGTAACAGCTTTCAACAAGTAAATATTTTTCCTCTGATTCGGTTGGCTGAGTTTCTGGTGACCTCTTCAGGTTGTACTCTGCCATGACATAAGCAGTTATTGACCATGACATCTCTCTCAAACTTTCACAGTAGAGTAAGTCTGTAAGTCTGTGTCTGCTGGAGTGACACCAGATGCTCCATCAGAGCTGATGCTGACAGCAGCATAATGAGAACACTCCTGTTGTCTGGGCTGATGTGACTGTACGGTAGAATAAAGAGGAACCACATGTTTGTTTCTGAAGTGGACTCTGCTGTAGTGGACTTCATCCTCCTGTTTTGGTTGTGTTGAGACGTTTTCATACACAGGACCAGGACTGAGCTGATAAAGACAAACAGCATTACATTATAATGCACTTTAAACTTGACTCCTTTTATTGTATGTTGGCAAAAATGAGTTTTTTTAAACTCTAATCTTTACCTGTTCAATTTGGTCAGACCTTTCAGTTGTTTGAGACTGACCAGAAGTTCTCTTTTTCCTGGTTGAAGTTAATAAACTGAAAAATTAGTGACTTCAGAGCAGAGATTAAAGGTACTGCTGTGAACCAACACTTACCTAACACACCAGCAGAGAGTGAGAAGTATTAAAACCAGCAGAGCTGCAGAAACTCCTGCAGCTGATGGTGTCCATGTTCCTGTGATACTTTGGACAGTGAGAGTCTTTGGAGCAGAGCTGATATCTTTCTTGCTTTTCACAGCACAGGAGTAGCTTCCTGCACCCTCCCTGCTGACTGGGTCTAGGATCAGATGTTTGTTCTGGTTCTCTCTCGGGGTCAGAGGTCGACTGTTCAAGTTCCAAATGTAGTTTGTGTTGTCAGTCAGAGGACAGCTGGTACTGCAGGTCAGTGTGACTCTCTGACCCTCTGTCACCACTGCAGAAGGACTCATCTTCACTCTCAGCTCTGAAAGAAGAACATTGGCAGTGTTGTAAAGTATTGTTGGGGAACAATGGTAAAATCCACAGTTTTTACCAAATCAAGGGCCTGTGCAACATCAGCCCAATCCTGACCTTAGAACCAATGATGGGCCGTCTCAACCACAGCCTAAACCTCACTTAATACCAAACGATGGCAGTCGTCCATATAATGACGCTGATGAACTGGGTGCGCTGAGATGCCACCTGCATGTGCAAAACCAATCTTTACAAAATGACAGCTGCAAACCACAAAGCTGCTGCGGCTAAAACACAGAATAATTGGTGGTGTGTGAATAAGGCACGGCGAGTCCACAGGTCACAGTATTAAGCCATTATTGACTTGCATCACACCACAACACACCCCAACTCATGAGTCCCCGTGGTTTTAACTCGGCGAGCGTGATTAAGGATGCTGTGCAGGTGCGTCTGCCCTCCATGCACGGCACCGCCACCACACCCCACCACAATTGGCTTCGCCTGCAGCTACAGTCCTGCAGAGAAAATGCTGAAAAAAACCATTCTTGAAGAACTGGAACAGGCTTGCAGAAACATAGATCCGAGGACACAACAACACCTGAGGTGAGTGAAGCTCCTGTTGAAGACAGCAACACAGCTGCGGAGCTGAGTGTGGACGCTTCAACACAAACTGCAGAAGCTCCACACACAGACTCTACAGACGTGAAAACCGATCGAGAAGCTTAGTTGGAGGTCCAGTGTAAAAAACAGCAAGAAGAGATCGAACAACTCCGTGAGCAGCTCCTCAAAACTCAAAAGACTCTTGAAGAGGAAATTGCAAAGCGCAAAGATCAGGAACAAAGAGCCCGATGTGAGCTCGCTAAGATGAAAGACAACCTCAGCACCAGTGAGGCTCTTCGTGAAAAAAATGATTTGAAGGCGCAAAACTTAAAAGAAGAGCTGAAACCAAAGCTTCCCACCAGGAAATCATGGAGAAGCAAAACCAGGAGAATACAACAATCTGAAACCAACTCAGGCAAACAGAGTAAGAAAAGATCTCATTTCAGGAGTCTTTGCTGTCTCTGCAAGAGACAAGAAAAAAAGCAAGAAGACCAGTCCAAGGTTGCCAATCCTGAAAATTCTCCAGCCCAAAAGAGGTCAGTTTATCAAACCAGAAAAAGACGCAACACTTCAGGAGAATCAGCCAGAAAAAGAGGAGGCCAGCGCTACCAAACCAGAAAATCCAGAGGCCCGAGATGACAAAGTGCCAAAAGAAAAACCAAAAAAGAAAAAGAAGCGCAACTGGTTTTGGAGACTATTCACTCCATCTAATAAAATATCAGCAATTTACAACTAAATAGTAACAGTTACTTCCAGTGCCTAAACATCCATTTTTAGGCATATTTACTTTAATATTTATCCATCCGCTTCTCTTTTTCAGGGTTGCGGGGAGCGCTGGAGCCTATCCCAGCTGTCATAGGGCAAGAGGCGGGGTACACCCTGGACAAGTCACCAGTCGGTCGCAGGGTCAACACACAGAAACAGACAACCATTCGCGTTCACACCTATGGGCAATCTGAATTACTCAATTAACCTATCCCCACAAACTGCATGTCTTTGGATGGTGGGAGGAAGCTGGAGTACCCGGAAGAATCCACGCAAACACGGGGGGAACATGCAAACTCCACACAGAAAGACCCCTGATGGTGGAATTGAACTCAGGACTTTCTTGCTGTGCGGCAACAGTGATCACCACCGTGCCACCGTGCACATAATATTTGCTTTAATATTGAGTTGTGTATAACTTTGTCATCGGCTCCACCCCCCAACCGGTCGCGGCAGATGGCCGCCCCTCCCTGAGCCTGGTTCTGCCGGAGGTTTCTACCTTTTGAAAGGTAGTTTTTCCTCCCCACTGTCGCCAAGTGCTTGCTCATAGGGGATTATTGGGTTTTTTCTTTAGTTCAGTTCATTTGTATGTAAATACTGTTGGATTGAATTGAACTGAATTAAAGAAGATTTTTATGAGACGGAGTAATCACTGAGTGAACCAGGGTATTATAACATCTTACCCATAAATAATTACGATCAACCCATTAAATAAACAATTGGATTTACCAAAACATCTGAAGTGTGAACATTTAATTTTGTTTCATTTAAAACATATGAAAATGTCAAATTACATCAATCTAACAGCAGAAATAAAAATGTTTACAGCCTGGTTGAAAACTTTGTTCTGTGAATGATATCCACTGCGTCTGTGCTGTTGATGCCTTTTAAAAGCATTCCTAATAGCATCTATCAAGTAATATGCCTTGCTCAATGGTTCTTGGAAGTATTAACAGTTTTTGTAATTTGCTTTATAAATTCAAATTCTACAGCCTTATACTAGTAATCGCTTGTGCTACATGCGGGAGGCAGGTAGAGTCAGCTCAGTGTCCAGCCATTATTATGAAAGTTCTCTCTTTGGCATCCACAGACGCAACAGCTCATAACAAAATGGTGCAAACAGAGGTGAATCCACATAAATATACTTTTTATATCTGAAAGTCCTGAAGACCACAGTGGTTACGTAAAAAAGTAGGAAATTAGTTTTTGATTTATAATTTCTTTGTTGTAACAATTCTTTGTGGCAATAAATCTTATAAAAAAAAAAGCCTGCATTTTTTACCATCAAATAGTGATATGTTTGCAAGTAAAACGTTTTATTGATTTAAACAGCAGAGTTGAGTATGTGGGTTAAACGCATAAAAAAAAACACTTGCCCACTCTGGAATGCCCTACAGCATGGGTGTCCAACTCCAGGCCTCAAGGGCCGGTGTCCCTGCAGGTTTTAGATGCATCCCTACTCCAACACAGCTGAGTCAAATAGTTGGATTACCTCTTCGGCATGCCATCAAGTTTGATTCAGGTGTGTCGGAACAAGGATCCATCCAAAAGCTGCAGGACAGTAGCTCTCCAGGACTGGAGTTGGACACCCACGCCCTACAGCTTATTCTGATGTTGTCTCTTGTTTTGGGCTCCTGGTATCCCAGCAGCTGACAATCGTGTGCCTGATTGGGGCCTGATTAGCTGCACCTGTTAGCATGGACGCTGCTACAGCTAACAGTCAGTGTCTGCTCTAAGCATAGCATGTTTGACTGATTCGGAAAGGGCCAGTGCCATAGGACAACTTCAAGCTGGTGTTAGGGCTAACCCAGCCCAAGAATACAACAACGCAAGAACACAGTTTCCTCGCCTCCTCAGCACATAAGACCGCTATGCTGTCTTTCACAGATTTGCAATAAAGGTTTGCACAATATGAGTCTAGATTCTGCCAATGATAGTTGAATCATAGGTTTAAAGTGTGGCAAAGCTGGCTGACTGGCTGTGGATATCATCCCACAGCAGTGTGTGATCAGTATGAGGAGGAAGTGAAAGGCTGGTTTGATTGTGTCTGGTTCTTCCATATGCTTGTCTTGTTTGTTCTTACTTCATCCAAGCCAACAAAAAACATTAAAGGAGAATCAACAGGAGAATAAACTGTTTGACAACTGCTGTTCATGGGTGTAGCCCACATACGCAACTGTTCTGCTCAACCAACAAATCCATTTTCATTACCAGTGTGGCTAGATTTCAGGTGAAATGAACAAGCTTTCCAACAGTAGAAAATGTTTTGCCAAGAAGCATTGTTACAGCAAAGAAACAATCAACCAAACACAAATTTCTTTACTTTGTATGTTAAGTTTACATATACATTTTCATGTGCAGAAAAAAACTTGGAAGATAATCCCCTTTTTCTTTTTGTATATTAGCACTTTAAATTTTGATAGTTGAAGTATGTAGATCTGTAAGGCATAAAAAAAGTCTTCTGGATTATGTGGAAAATTGCTACAATCTGAAAACAGGCAGTTTTTCTGAGTTCATTTAAAGTCTAATATTCAGAGATACATGGTTGTGAGAGGATGTCAGCATTTGAAGTGATGATCTTAAAGAATGTGATTTATGTAGATTCAACTAAAACAGTCCACAAGTAGATTATTTAAAATAAACTGAACCTGAAACACAGCTGAGAATCGAACACATGACTGTATCACCTGTAAATATAAAACACTGACACAATGAGTACTTCAGATTCTGATAAATAAATTTCTTAAAAAGTCTGAATATTTTGACGTTTTTAAATACAGGACTCTTACTTGTTGTCATGGCGTTATGGCTGATATTTTCTCGCTATTAAATGATCTGAACAGTTCTTAAACCTCTAAGTAAAGTCTGCTGAGTAAGAAATTAAGATTTACCTGTGACAATCAAAAAGACTCCAGGCAGATCAGACTGTCTCCATCTTTCATGATCTTTGTTGAATCTGAATGTGTATCCTCCTGAGTCATTCTTCTTCAGGTTGTTGATGGTCAGGATGTGTTGGTTCTTCATGTTGTCCTGATACTCCACACCACCTGCAGCCTCAATCAGCTCTTCAACTTCCACTTTATCTTTTCTCCATTTTTTACTCCAACACTTAAACTCTGGCTTCATGTTATCAGGATGTGAGTATTCACATGTGATGTTGACTGAAGATCCTTCCAGAGCACAGATTCTCCTGCTGACATAATTCCTAATCCGGCAGTTTTTATCCCGAACACCTGAAATATAGATGGACGATTTAGAGTTGTTTGAATGGTCTGTATGCTGAAACTTTTGTCTATAGTTAACTGACAGAAAAAAATGAGTTGTGAATTACTCACAGACTTCTGCAGACTCAAGGTACTTGTGGTTTTTTACAGCACAAGAGAACTTGTATGTTGAATTGTTGTGAGTTAAACATTGTTGATTCTTGTAGTTTCTGCTTTTGTTTCTGCAGCTAATGTAGGCAGTTTCAGGGTCAAACAGCTTACAGGTGCTGTTACAGGTCAGTGTGACACTATCTGATGTGTAGGAGGTTTTTTGAACACGAACCTCTGAAAGATGATTAAAAAGTTTTCATAAGACACAATAATGTATAAAATTTTATTTCTGTTTTTAGAATGCCTGCTACTAGATTTATTAACAAAGGTAATATTTAGCCTTATCTTATATAAGGAAAATGACATTAAACTAATATAGAGGTTTGATGGAAGATATTTGCTTATTTGTTGAAGCTTCACCTCTGGGATATGTGATGGAGCACAGCTCATCTACTGATGTCTTCCTGTAAGAACACATTCTCCCTTTAGCATAGGTCACACTGAAGCAGGTCTCTGTGAGGGAATCTGTACAACAAAGTAATAATATTGATTAAAATGATTCACTGTGTGAGTCATTCTGTTTGTTTTGTTGAACAATAAACATCATGTCTCACCCACAGAGACTTCAGGGGCTCTGAGATGCTCGTAGCCTTTGACAGCACAGGAGTATGTGACTGCTTCCTCACTGCTGAGCAGCTCTTGGTACCAGGGAGACCAGTCCTCATAGAGAAACTCTCTGTTCTTATACCAGATGTAGGCTGCAGGCTTTTCAGTCAGAGGACAGCTGCTGCTGCACATCAGTGTTACTGTCTGTCCCTCTGTGGCAGGAATCACCTTTACCTGCAGCTCTGAGAGGAAGATGGAGAACAACTTATACAATGATGTCATTTGGAAAGTTATTAATGAGTAAAAGTCACTGTACCTGCAACAACTTGAAGAGTAATGTTACTGAGTGAACAGTTTCCTGGTCTGTCTGCAGTCTTCATACAGCAGTAAGCGTTTGCATCACTCTCTCTTAGATCATTGATGGTTAAAGTTGACTTTTTCTCTTCAGACATGTTGTATGTTACACGTGGTCCATCCACAGAGAGCTCACTCTGAACATACTTATAACCATCCCAGTCTATAGTGAACCATTTGCTGCTTGAGGTCAGATGTTGATGTGAGCAGTGCAGATCCACTGATGAACCTTTGAGAGCACAGATCCTGGTTTCTCCTCCATTAACACCTTTAACACAAACTTTCATTAGTGAACAGATCAGCTGTGATTGTTGCTGTTCGCTGACATTTAAAGTTAAGAGTAAATGTAAAAAAAACTCAGACATTAGAAAGACAAACTAACCACCTCACCTTGCTGGGTTAACTTCTCTTTATCAAAGCAAAGGATTAAAATGACGACAGAGTGACAGTTTCATATTCAGTTTAACACATTGCACAGTGAAACTTAACTTCCTGTACATGTATCTTCCTCTTCATGTACGTGTATGCTGTGTCTTTAGGCATGAGAAATTACATGCAATCATTTCCCACATTATTTACAACACAAAGTGTATTTTAGTACTTTGTGTTGTCTCTACAGCATGCTGTTGTCTTTAGTCACATATTCAAGTTCAAGCTTTATTTTTTCCTTTTGTGAGAGCAGAAAGCTGCAGAGGTGTTAAAACGATTTTCTGTTTCTGGTTTATGATGGAAACACGTCTGTGGTGTCAAAGAATCTCCAGACTGATGCTTCGTGAGCATGAACAGCTGTAATGATGTAAACCTTACTCTGGTGTCAAGCTGCAGCTGCTCTTTGTATCAGTGTAAAGGATCATGATATTTCAAAGACAGCAGTACCAAGCACTGTTTCATGGGAATTTGTAGTTCTTGTGTTGTGTTTCAGGGGCTTTAAACTGATTTTAACAGCTGTTTTCTGTTGGTTTTACTCTTTTTAAACCTCCATCTGGGCTGAGAGTGGATTGTTCCATTAATGATGTTCTAATGACAAAATATTCATTCTGTGAGCTGAAAAAAAAAACCCAACTTCTGATTTCTTTATATTTTCATGGCTTTTAAGAGTTCAAGTGTGAAGAGTCCTGCATGGTTGCTGTTCAGCTTCCCTTCAGTGGATTAACACAACATTCATTACAAACATCTGTTTAGACATGTTTCTACTCTGTTCCAGTCATTCAGTGATGATATTATTGTCCTTTTGTGCACTTCAGGAGCTCTTCAAAGCAGAACTCCTGCTGCCTAACAGTGAATCTCATGTTTTCTAACATTTTTTAATAACCTTTGTAAGTTTTTCTACACTTGAAACATTTTTATAGTCTTTAGTTATCATAAGGAGGGCAAAGAGTCATTCCTACCTGAGAGACACAGAATGAAACCCACCCCAAAAAATCCAGCTTCTGCCAAGATCATGATTGCTGTAGATTTCAGCTTCTAGTCTGAAAGTTGGTTGTTTGAATCTTGAAAAGATCTTTACAGCTGAGTGTGCTCGCAGGAAAGGCTGAAAACAGAACGGACAATTGTGAACATCACTGCACCTAAAGATAAACTCTTTGCAGCTTTAACAGCATTACATCACTTCCTCCTTTTTAGACAGAGCACACCTCTAGTAAGAAAGTATGGATTACAACAATTTATGCAGGGACAGAGACCACAAATACACACATAGAAGGATAATTAGGGAGACAGGGAAGATATCTGGGGAGAACGACACACAAGTGAGTGAAATCACTGCAGATTAGCCAAACAAGTAGAACTAAATACAAAAGACAAGAGACTATAAAAAACAGGAAATGACTAACACCGAGACACAGACTCAAACATACAGACAAGACACAGACACAAGATTGAATGAGAAAACCATAACCAGCTAAATGCTATTAAACAGGCTGATAGTCTCTTGTCCTGTATCCATTGTGTCCCCTTTCACTTGCTCTGTTTCATTATTTTTGATTTGTTCCAGCAGTGTGCCCTCCTGTTTCCGATCGCCTTGTTATCATGCAAGTATTTAACTCTTCACCGTTCCCCTGTCTCTCATCGTGTCCTCCAGATTAGCACGGTGTTTAGTGAGGTGTGTGTGGTCTCTTGTTTACATCTAGTCATGAGTTCTATAGACAACAGAGTCTTTATTTGTAGTTTATCTTTTTTATGCTTTGTTTGGTGTTTCTTTGTACTTTTCCTAGTTTTTAGTTTGCTTTCTCAACCAATAAAGCTGCCACTTTCAGTTAACTATTCCATCTCTGAGTCCTGGGTTTGGGTCCTACCCCTGCTCATCACACAGCTCACCTTGGCAAAGATTCCTGTTTGGTTGCTGTTTAGTTTTCCCTGAAATGCTTTAACAGAACATTCATTAGCAAATGTGTGCAAATGTATCTTGTTTACACACCTTTCTACTCTGTGCCATCCATTCAATGATGGTAAAATTGCACCAGACTTTGATACATTTCAAGAGCTTAACATCCTCTTACTTAACAGTGAATCACATGTTTTCTTACACCCTTTAATAACTTTCCAGAAATTTTCTACTATTGAAACATTTTTTTTCAGTCTTCAGTCATCATAAGAAGAAGAAATAGTAATTCCTACCTGAGAGGTAAAGAATGAAACCCAAAAAGAAAAATCCAACTTCTGCCAACACCATGACTGACATACAATCAATCACTAATCAAAAAGTTGATTGTATGAGTCTTTACAGCTGAATATTCTCACAGGAAAGGCTGAAAACAGAACTAATGTCAGTGGGCCTAAAGATAAACCGCATGCAGCTTTAACACAATTAACACTTCCTCATTCATGATGGTTTTTAGAAGGAAACCCCCTAATTAGGACTTTTATAACACAGCAGCGTAAATTCACTTCTGGATAGTTTTAACAACATTCTTATCCATTTTATAATTATTAATAACATGAAGAAACAAAAATATATTTTACATTACTTAAATATAAAGTATATTGTTGATTTTAAGAAACTGAGTGTACTGTACATTACAAACCTATATAGTAGATTACAACTGACACTAAGTATCGATATATGTAAAAGTGGCTCAGCACCTCATACAATATTTAAATCAAAACACTGCAACTACAGCCTAAAAATTAACATAGTACTACAATGTGCTACTGTACTGTAGATGTGTCAGATTACACAAACTGTTACCCACTTCAATATATTTTTAATGGTTCATTTCAAAGTTTATGAGAATTAATCATTTTCTGAAAGAAATAATTACACACTAACATATTTATGATTGTATATTTATGAGAACAATTTTCTTCCTTTTTTCTGTAAAAAACAAACAAACGACTGACTGCACCTTTAAAAACGTTTGCAATCGCCTGATGTAGCGGTGATGCAATATCAAGTTCCGCCAGTAGATGGCAGTAACAGATTGGATAAACGAGTGAGTAGCACAGTAATCATAGCAGAAGCAAGAAACCACCGTTGCAGGGGAGAGACGGTCAGGTGTACATGTAAAGGTAAGCTTTTGAGTTTCTTTTTATTAAGTCTGGAAACATGGGGGATCCCAGGTTTCACACTTTGATAAAAAAAAAATCCCTCATCATTTCCATTGGATCACAGCTGATCACAGACTGCAGCGTGGCCAAATTTCCCCTTAAAAAAAATGTAGATTACATACGTAAAAACACACATAAAAATAATTAGTATTTCTTAAATATTTTTTTAGGAGCAGTGTTGTTTATTTACTTTGATTTGGCCATCTTTAAGGTGTGTTTCTCTTTAAAGGTGTTTCTATTACACTGTGTGCAGACTGAGTCCCCAGCTGTCTCAGGAGGACCAGTCCTGGTGGACATGTTGTGGGAGACTCAAATGGATGAGAAAAAAGGAGATCCTCTAATCTCTAGCAAAAATACACGTAAACAACTGTGTAGTTTCCTTTCTTTTCTCGTACCACACAAAGGTCAGAGGGTCCGTCAGAAAACACAGGGTCAGGGATCGATCTCTTTGGCAGGAATCCCCTTTACCTGCAGCTCAGTGAAATATAAATAAATAACATTCACATACTGATTATTAAAGTCATTATTTTGTTAGTTGGTAAAACCATTGTACCTGCAACACATAAAATCTGCTTTGCTGACAGTTTTGTGATTTGTCAGCAGTTTCTCTGCAGCAGGTAAAAACTTCACTGCTCTATGTTAGACTGTTAGAGTGCCGTTCCTCTCTGCTCCCATGATGCTGTACATTATAGGATCACTTTATTTCTTGCAGTGGCTTGTTGATCTGAGCAGGACAGATTCACTGATGAACCTTTCAAGGCACATATTCTGTTTTGTTTTCCCAGAACACCTTTAACACAACATTTGAATAATAAACATTACTGTTAAGGATTAGAATCTGGTACTTTAATACAATTGAGAGAACATAGCAGGAAGAGAAACAACAGGTGAAAACAACAGTAAACTTCCTGTTTTCTAAAATAATTTCATAACTTTTGCATTTACATTGAAGATACAGAATTCCAGCAACATCTTCAGGAGGAAGAGAAACAAATTATTTTTACCTGAAAGACACAGAATGAAACCCAAAAACAAGCCTCCAGCTTTGGTCACCATCATGGCTGCTATATGTTTTTAGTCTAAATGAGAAAGAAGGTTGTATGTTGATTAACATTATTATGATAAATGGCTGATTACTGGTAGAACATATTTCTTAAAACTCATCAGAGATTAGAAAATATCAAAACTATGAATAAATGTCAGAAATCAACTTCTGTCTAACAGGAATGACCAACTTGTGTGAGTGTGGCTGCAGACAAACTGCATTTAGCTTTAACATCATCACTTCCTCATTTATCTTTTTTTCTCTCTCGAAGATGAGCCCTCTAGTGAAGAATTGATGTATTGCAGGTGGTTTTTCCACTTCATACTGATTTTACCTTTGAGGTTTTTGTTTTGTACTACTTATCAACATTCTCTGGATTTAAACATGTGATATGACCACATTTCATTATGTTTTTCCCCCCCCCCCCCCAAAAATTAAATAAAATAAGTTCCTGCAGACATGATAGCGTGTTTTCATTTCTGCCAGAAACAGCTAGTTTTACATTTAAAAGTGCAAATCAGCCAAAAGATAGTAAAAAAAAAAGCAAGAACACACTTCTTTTTTATAAAGTTGTCCTATTTTTTTGTCTTGAGTTATGTTTCACAGGAATTTTTAACACATGTATTTCGTTATCAGACATGTTTGAATGGGAAAGCTCAGGCATTTCTGTATTTCTGTTATTCCTTTCTGTATTTTATGTTCCAGTACAGAGAGTACAAACACTGACAGATGAAGCAGCTTTGATGTCTCTGCTATGGTACTGAACTCATTTTAGACACAAAAACCTTAAGGGGAAACGGTTCCTTTAAATCACCATGGCAACAACCTTTTCTTTAGTGAGCAGGCAGTGGGTTGATGGTGGAGTAGAGATCAGCTGTGTGGTTGTCATTGAAGTGCAGTCTGCTGTAGTGATGATCATCCTGCTCTGCTGACTGAGTTGAGATGTTTTCATACATGAGGTCAGGGTTCATCTGAGGAGACGAGACAGTTATTATAAATTCATATTAAACTGCATTAAACATTTCATTGTTCTATCAGAATATTATAAAATATCTGTTTGTAGGTCTGAGCTGATAAAGGTTGGTTCATTGGCTTATTAAAAAACTATTTAAATCACAGGTTTTCATGCCATTGAATTCAGAGAGAGCTGATGTTTCCCATCAGTTATATCACTACTGTTTAATATCCAGTCAGTTACAAAACCGACATATGAGACTGATATGAATCTACTGTGTTGTAAGAACTGTTAATGTAAAGTTTCTATTAAATGTCATACAATGATAAACAGGTTAGTGTAAATGTCTTGTCTTATAGTGATATATCAATGCTTAAAAAACAATCAAATAGTTGTACTCGACAGGAAAAGAAAATCAAAGGATAAAGTTGCATTGAAGAATCTTTGTTACTGATGCTCATCAGTAATCATGATTCTTAAAGGCACTATGACCATAACCACCTCAGGAGCAGGTTTTGTTCTTGATTAGACATCAGCAGGTATGAAGTCATCAGGCTAAACAATCATTTGTCAAGAAAATAGCATCACTATTTTAGGACATTTCCTTTGATAGAAGTACGGTCTAAAGTTTTTAAAGAGCCTCTAAAGTCTTTGCATTTCCCTGAGAAGGATCAGTAAGAATACAGATTTTTAGAGGACTCTTTATTTTTTGACTTTTGACTGTTGGCTGCAAACAATTTTAAGACACTTGCCAGGAATATTGACGCTTGTAACTATTTATACAGTATGTGATAATAAAACAGAGCACCTGTTTCTACTTGTAGACCTTATTTCAAATTTGCACATAGACAAAGTATTATCATTGAATTATGTTTATAAGGTAATTATTTTCTTTATATGATAGTTTCTTGATCAATTCTTAACTTTAATTGATAAGCCTGATCAATTTTTACCTCTGCTTTTTTTTTTTTAACCAACATTTTGTTTTCCTGTCTTCAAATGCTATGCAGCAGTTCTGATCACACTGCTAAATACTGACACATTAATTGATTGGCTTTAATACTAAAATACTGTACAGTGTGATCAATACACACACACACACACACACACACACGCAAACATTTTTTTCCTGATGGAGAAAAAATGATCATTCAAATAAACAGTAATAGGACAGATGACAAGTTGTTCTTGTTTGAATCCTGTTAGTACCTGCTGTTCGTTGTGTGAAGTTTCCCTTCTTGGAGGTTGACTGAAAGTCCTCGTTTTCCTGATTCATAAAAATTAATGAAAAAGTCAAGAAACATGACATTAAAAATAACAGGATCAATTTGAAAGAAAACATATGTTTACCTAACACACCAGCAGACAGTGAGAAGTATTAAAACCAGCAGAGCTGCAGAAACTCCTGCAGCTGCTGGTGTCCATGTTCCTGTGATACTTTGGACAGTGAGAGTCTTTGGAGCAGAGCTGATATCTTTGTTGGTTTTCACAGCACAGGAGTAGCTTCCTGCATCCTCCCTGCTGACTGGGTCTAGGATCAGATGTTTGTTCTGGTTCTCTCTCGGGGTCAGAGGTCGACTGTTCAAGTACCAAATGTAGTTTGTGTTGTCAGTCAGAGGACAGCTGGTACTGCAGGTCAGTGTGACTCTCTGACCCTCTGTCACCACTGCAGAAGGACTCATCTTCACTCTCAGCTCTGGAAGAGGAACATTGGTCAAAAACAAAAAATCTCTTGTGTGGCTTAGACATGAAAGATGGTTTTATGACTTTACTACAAAACCTCCTTGGTACAAGAACCAAAAAACCTCTCGGGTTTACACAATCCTTTTCTCCAGTGATGAAAAGTATTTATTTATTAAAGCAGTACTTAAGTACAAATTCAAGGTACTTTTGCTTTCAGTTTTGTGTAACTTTATATTCCACCATCTCAAATGATTATACTTTTTACTCTTCAATATTTATCAAACTACAAATGATTATTATGATTTAAGGAACTCCAGTTTGAAATACCAAACAATCTGTGCATAAAACTGTCAAAATTAGCTAAGCACAGATGGGGAAAACCTTTTTATTTATTGAAGTTGATTTCTTGAAAACATGTAAATACTTTCAAGGTGTTACAGTGTGCTGATACTATATTCACAACATTTGAATATTTCTTCCACCTCTGCTCCTGTTCAGACATTAATAAGTAAAGTCTGCTGAGTGAGGAGTTTAGATTTACCTGTGACAATCAAAAAGACTCCAGGCAGATCAGACTGTCTCCATCTTTCATGATCTCTCTTGAATCTGAATGTGTATCCTCCTGAGTCATTCTTCTTCAGGTTGTTGATGGTCAGGATGTGTTGGTTCTTCATGTTGTCCTGATACTCCACACCACCTGCAGCCTCAATCAGCTCTTCAACTTCCACTTTATCTTTTCTCCATTTTTTACTCCAACATTTAAACTCTGGCTTCCTGTTATCAGGATGTGAGTATTCACTTGTGATGTTGACTGAAGATCCTTCCAGAGCACAGATTCTCCTGCTGACATAATTCACTCTCCGGCAGTTTTTATCCCGAACACCTGAAATATAGATGGAAGATTTAGAGTTGTTTGAATGGTCTGTATGCTGAAACTTTTGTCTATAGTTAACTGACAGAAAAAAATGAGTTGTGAATTACTCACAGACTTCTGCAGACTCAAGGTACTTGTGTTTTTTTACAGCACAAGAGAACCTGTATGTTGAATTGTTGTGAGTTAAACATTGTTGATTCTTGTAGTTTCTGGTTGTGTTTCTGCAGCTCATGTAGGCAGTTTCAGGGTCAAACAGCTTACAGGTGCTGTTACAGGTCAGTGTGACACTATCTGATGTGTAGGAGGTTTTTTGAACACGAACCTCTGAAAGATGATTAAAAAGTTTTCATAAGACACAATAATGTATAAAATTTATTTCTGTTTTTAGAATGCCTGCTACTAGATTTATTAACAAAGGTAATATTTAGCTCATTATTTAAAAGGAAAATAGAATTGAAAAACTAATATAGAGGTTTGATGGAAGATATTTGTAATTTGTTTAAAGCTTCACCTCTGGGATATGTGATGGACCTCATCACTGGCTCTGTAAGACATCCCTTAGCATAGGTCACACTGAAGCAGGTCTCTGTGAGGGAATCTGTACAACAAAGTAATAATACTTGATTAAATGATTCACTGTGTGACTCATTCGTGTTTGTTTTGTAGAACAATAAACATCATGACTCACCCACAGAGACTTCGAGGGGCTCTGAGATGCTCGTAGCCTTTGACAGCACAGGAGTATGTGACTGCTTCCTCACTGCTGAGCAGCTCTTGGTACCAGGGAGACCAGTCCTCATAGAGAAACTCTCTGTTCTTGTACCAGATGTAGGCTGCAGGCTTTTCAGTCAGAGGACAGCTGCTGCTGCACATCAGTGTTACTGTCTGTCCCTCTGTGGCAGGAATCACCTTTACCTGCAGCTCTGAGAGGATGATGGAGAACAACTTATACAATGATGTCATTTGAAAGTATATAAATGAGTAAAAGTCACTGTACCTGCAACAACTTGAAGAGTAATTGTTCTGAGAACAGGTCCTGGACTGTCTGTAGTCTTCATACAGCAGTAAGCGTTTGCATCACTCTCTCTTAGATCATTGATGGTTAAAGTTGCTTTTTCTCTTCAGACATGTTGTACGTTACACGTTGTCCATCCACAGAGAGCTCACTCTACATACTTATACCATTCAAGTTCTAAGTGAACCATTTGCTGCTTGAGGTCAGATGTTGATGTGAGCAGTGCAGATCCACTGATGAACCTTTGAGAGCACAGATCCTGGTTTCTCCTCCATTAACACCTTTAACACAAACTTTCATTAGTGAACAGATCAGCTGTGATTGTTGCTGTTCGCTGACATTTAAAGTTAAGAGTAAATGTAAAAAACACTCAGACATTAGAAAGACAAACTAACCACCTCACCTTGCTGGGTTAACTTCTCTTTATCAAAGCAAAGGATTAAAATGACGACAGAGTGACAGTTTCATATTCAGTTTAACACATTGCACAGTGAAACTTAACTTCCTGTACATGTATCTTCCTCTTCATGTACGTGTATGCTGTGTCTTTAGGCATGAGAAATTACATGCAATCATTTCCCACATTATTTACAACACAAAGTGTATTTTGGAATTCGTC